TGCTAGGTGCGCGGTTTCGGGGGCTGCGAGCGGGAGGGGAAGCATCTCGCTTGTTCCTTCTCGAGAAAGCTTAAAAAATGTCGTTGGCCGGTCAGCTTTAAGCTGATTGATTGTTTTTTTCTGCTGCTTCACTTGACTTCTTTTTTGGAAGCAGTGACCAGATGTCAGGCTGTCACTGTGACTGTTCAGCTTCTAAGGTGGGACTTTCCCAGCCTGTTTTTCTTAACATCGCTCCCAGTGTGTGTGCTCTGTCTTTGCAAACTCCTTGTTTGCAGTTCTGTCGCTGTAAAGCCCTGGGTCTCGTTCCCTAACAGCTCGATGTTGAACTCTTGGCCGTGCATATCTTTCATATGGTTTTTCCTGTTGTCCTTTCACTTATTTATTGAAACTTCTGTTGGCAGTTTGACTGCAGTGGCTTTAGACTCAGTTACTGAGGTCATGTTGTTAGTGGATGGTATTAGATCAGTATTGTTATTAAGTATTCCTTAATTCTTACTCTTGGTGAACAGCTGTTTTGTAGGAAGACCAATCTTCATGAAAACTAGCCATTTGTGGATTTTTTTTTTTTCTTTCCCTCTCCACAGGTCTTTGTAAGCTGTGTCAAACTGATAGTTCTTAATTGTTCAATTCTCTTGATAGCCTCTTAAGGAAGAGGTTTTTTTGTCTATCTGGCTAATTAGTACAGAGTTTGTCACTGATAGGACCTTGGAGAATCCACTGTTTTCATTTTTCACTGAATCTGAAATAACAATGTAGGGTTTTTATGGCTTAAGGCAGCTGTGCTGTTTAAAACTTATGTCCTTATTTTGTAGTAGCAACACTGTTTTTATATGTTGTTTAGCCCTGATGACTTGTAGTTTCATCAGTTTACTTTAAAAGCTTTCTATCTTCCTTGTATTTCCCAGTGAAAATGGAGGTATTTTATTGGCCAGAGAGGTGGTTGATGCCTCGTTCCTGGAAACATTCAAGGTCAGGCTGGATGGGGCTCTGAGCAGCCTGATCTAGTTGAAGATGTCCCTGCTCACTGCAGGGGGTTGGACTATGTGACCTTTAAAGGTCCCTTCCAACCCAAACTATTCTATGATTTTTGTGATCTCTGTGTGAAGTCAGTCTTTCACCTTAGGAAAGTACAAACAGAAAAAAGCATGCTCTCAAGGAACTGAATTTTGTGAAGGTAAGAACTTCACTTACTGAAAAAAGCTTCACCATTTAAACAAGCATGCTGGATTACTGAAGCTTGCTGGAAACAATGGCAAGTGGGAAAAGATACAAGTCAAATATATGTAGGACAGTAAGATACCAAATAATAGAGTCCTTTAACTTGATTATAACTACAGTAACGTAACACTTCAAATACGATCCTGATGGCTGCAGGAAGAATGACAAAGGTATTTAATATTGGAAGATGAAGCTGTTAATGAAATATGCTGATGCACCAGAGCTTGCAGTCATTTACTCTTTATTTATTCATGCTGCTTTTAACCACCTCCTTGCTGCACTTAAATTTCAGAATTTCATGGGCTCTTGCAGCAGAAGCTTTGAAATATAAACCTGACTTCTGCCATAGAATTGGTATCTCTTTTGCAGTTTCAAAAGCTCAGTGAAACCCAGGTCTGATTCCAGTAGCAAGTAAAGCAAGTTTAACTCTTTGCTCTGTTGGGTATTGCTGTCTTTTTGACGGCCTATGACTGCCTTAATGGGGTGGTTACACAGGAAGCTGAAGACTTTAGTGGTTTTTATAAGGATTTAAAATACAACTTCAGATATATGATGAAAAGTGTGAGGCTATTTGGGGATCTGGAAGAAGCATGTTGATTAGATATTCTAAAACAAGTAGAAGTGAGCATGTCTCAAGGAACTATATTCTATCTGTATGTGAGAAAAATAACATTCTGAACACAAATTTCCTGTACCTGGTAACTTTCATGTAGTTGAGTTTTAAAATTGGGGCTAGACTGATAGAACAGTGGAAATACTTCGATCCCTCTTACATGGAAAATGGTTTGGTCAACTGGGAACTTTCCTTTCAACGAGACAGTGTAACTGCCATACTAGGGTGGACTAAGATTCTGTCTCTTTCAGTAGCAGATGCTTGGGGAAGAGCATAGGCAACAGGTATGTTCAGTGTGATGCTTCCTCTGGTAGACCCTGTCAAAAGGTGTGCAACAGCAGTTCAGGGACTTCAGGAGCTTGAGGTTACATTTAGATAGCATTTGAGTTAATGACGGACTTGTCTGTGAACTTACAGAGCCTTGCCTTGAATCTGTGCTTGTCCTTGTTTGCCTGGAAAGTTGGTTGAGACCTTAAGCTGCTGCTTCTATGTTAGGGGAGCCCTACAATAAGAAAAACAATAGGCAGAGCTGAGTTTTGTTCAAGCCCCAGCTTGTTTAGTCCATCCTCAAATACCTGAGTGACACACTAGGTAATGTTCAGAAAAATAAAATGAAGTTAGCTTTAAACTGCTTTTGGAATTTGTTTGTTTGAATATGAAAAGAAACAGGAACTCTTTTCATGTTAGTATATGGCAAGATAGAAGTAAGGAGTGAACAGAAAATGCTGTTTATTAAAGGAACAGAAGTTATTTCCGCTGTGAAACCCCAGAATGTCTGGAAAAGCAGTGTTTTTGACATCTGACATATAACCTAGTTATGCTCTGCTATATGGAACCACAGATCAATCAATGGTCTGTTGAGAGCGAGACTGTAGGATGTTGATATTAATGACACACTTCCCCTCAGGACAGACTTGGCTACCCTGCAGGAAGTGGGGTGAATACTAGGGTATAAAGTCAATGTTTTGACATGTCTGATTGTAGACTAGCAGTATTTGTCTATGGAGACATAGAAACAAGAACCAGTGAACTATTTCATGATTTCTAACTACAATATTTCAAAACTGAAAGCATTTACAAGGCTAACAAGCTGGATCATGTTTTCCTTAAAAATCTTAACTTGTATAAGAATGTAGATACTAAACTTGATTTGAAGCTTAATGTTACTTTTTGTGCATGCATTCTTAAAAGTGAAATCCTTCATGTTAATCCCTGTAGGATATTAGTTCTTGTATTAGTCCTTATCAGAGAGTTTGTTCTGCTTTATCCTGCTTGTCCCTGAAATCTGGAGTGCACCTCAGGCTGCTGAGTGTGAGGGTAACTTTCATACCTCTTGTGCTTTGTCTCTTAAATCATACACTGCTGTTAGCTCATAACCACTACAAAAACTTATTGCTTTTAAATCTTGGGACAATATTGTGTGTTCTGTAGTGATCGCTTCTAAAATAGGATGGTGCTCCTTCTAAATTGTAGTGATGGAATTGAAGAGTGGCATAAGGAACAGGAGTTACAAAAGTGGACAGCTGGGTTCTGGGCTGACGTGGGGGAAGCTGGGCATTGAAGTCAGAGGAGACGAACAGGACAATGTGAGGAAAGAGGAAAGGATAGAAGATGAAATGGATGTGGAAAACATGCGCTATGATCTAATGGACTATAGGATAATGGAGCTGTGAAAGGAAGGAAAACAGGCATTTAGAGATTATTTTCAGCACTGTCATATAATTAAAGTCTAGTAAGTATCTCCTCTTGACTGTATGACATACAACATGGGATTAGGCTTGTTTGACCAAGAAATAGTATTTCAGAAAGTACCAGGTATGTATTCTGGTTCATTTCGGAACACAAAGTATATGCTAAGCATGCGCACAGGTATTTCCTCTTTTGCGTGAAATTCCAGTGGAACCATTAGACATAAGTTTGATTTATTTTACTCAGGAATACTGTATTCAGTTGTTGGAGCACCACAATTAACTTGCAAATATTTTGGTATACAGTTTGACTTTTACAGTAAAACAGATAAAGATAAATGCATAGTTAAGAAAGCTATCTCAGCCCTCTGTTAGTCTTTTAGTGAAGTATAAGTAAATAGGAAAAAATGGACATTCACAGCAAGCCTAACCATGATGTAGAGCTTTCCTGTGGAGAGATTACTTGTGGAAAACTATATAACAACATTAAAATAGCCTGTGTTCTAACAGTGCTGCTATTTGCTGTCAGCCTTGCAAGAATGTATGTTTCAGCCAGTGCTCTTGAAACCCTGGAAGTGATAACTGGTTCCTTCATTCCTTGAATCTAAACAGCAATGTTTTTCCCGGTATGTTTACTAAAAATCTTGTTTTCCATTGCTGGGATTACCTCTAGCACAAATGTTCTGGTATGGATAAATGGAAACATTACCATGGGGTAAGGTAGGTTCAGAGTTTACAACATATAATTTGCAGCAGCAGACTGTACGCACGGTCTCTCTACTGAGAGTGATGAGCAACATCCACTATCAATAGGTCTATCTACATATTTTGCAATAGCGATTAAAAAAAAAAAAAAATTCTCTGACGAGATCAGGGTAATCTGGATTCTAGCATGCAGGGCATGTTTTTCACTTTTTACTCATTTTCTCTCCTCCCTTGTGGGGTGGGAGGCGAGGAATTGCTCTCAATTGTGGTCAGGCTCTAGGACAAGGAGCAGGCATCATTTTGGACCCTGCCCTGTTAGGGCTCTGTTAATATAGCATAACTGCTACTTGACTTTGCTGCCTTAAACTCAGTGTTGCCTCACATGTGGTGGCTCTTTTATGCTTCAGCACTTGGGGAAGACATGTCTCCCCAGGCAGACTTGGGGAATATATTTTAGCTCCTTTAAATATATTTTGGGTGAGGGCTGAATGTAGTTGCTGGCTAGTGCAAACTGTGCAGTTTTTCCCTATACTTGGGTAAAAAACAAGAAGAGCATAAGAAGAAGAGGTGAGACTTTCCTTAAAAAAGCCAGTTTCTCTATTGTGTTGTTTTCCCCTCTATTGAAGCAGAGAATCTGCAAGGAGCGTGGTGTTTCCTTTCCCTGGCACTTCATGGTTTCATAGTTTTATCGGCTGAAGTCAGTTTGAACTAACAAGAAGGATAGAATCATAAAATCATTTAGGTTGAAAAAGACCTTTAAGATCATCCAGTCCAACCATTAACCTAACATTACCGAGTCCACACTAAACCAATTAAGGGTAGACTAGACTAAGCCTTGTCCCAAAGTGCCACGTCTACCAATTTTTTTGAACGCTTCCAGGGATGATGACTCCACCACCTCCCTGGGCAGCCTCTTCCAATGCTTGACTACCCTTTCTGTAAAGAAATTTTTCCTAATATCCAGCCTAAAGCCCCCCTGGCACAGCTTGAGCCCATTTCCTCTTGTCCTATCGCTAACTACATGGGAGAAGAGCCCAACACCCACCTCACTACAACCTCCTTTCAGGTAGTTGTAGAGAGCGATAAGGTCTCCCCTCAGCCTCCTCTTCTCCAGGCTAAACAACCCCAGTTCCCTCAGCCGCTCCTCATAAGGCCTGTGCTCCAGACCCTTCACCAGCTGTGTTGCCCTTCTCTGGACACGCTCCAGCACCTCAATGTCTTTCTTGTAGCGAGGGGCCCAAAACTGGACACAGCATTCCAGGTGCAGCCTCACCAGTGCCAAGTACAGAGGGACAATCACCTCCCTGCTCCTGCTGGCCACGCTATTCCTGACACAAGCCAGGATGCTCTTGGCCTTCTTGGCCACCTGGGCACACTGCTGGCTCATGTTCAGCCAGCTGTCGACCAACACCCCCAGGTCCTTTTCAGCCAGGCAGCTTTCCAGCCACTCTTCCCCAAGCCTGTAGCGTTGCATGGGGTTGTTGTGACCGAAGTTATATCACGGTGTGACATGTCAGCCTGCAGTTTTGGTATGGTTTGGTACTCTGAACTGGTATAATTGATGATTTTGAGGTGTTGCTGTATTGTCTACCAGTGTTTACTCTGATAACCTGGAAGAAAGGAATGTAGCACAAGGTAAGTGCACAGGTGGGAAGCATCTCTGATTAGAAGTTTCTAAAACCCTCAGCAAAGTTGAGGTCTTTGTTTCTATCATTTCTGAGGTAATCCAAAGTTAATTTTCCTCATTTGCAGGGTGTCCTATGGGTATCTGCTTTTAGCTGTTGCTGCTAGTAGTCTTTCTTGTGTTGCATCTTGAGTAGGAAGTGCCAAGATGCTGCTTGGCGTGTTCAGAACAGGGAAGCTACAGATGAAGAAGTGACTGTCAAGAGGTGTGCATGGCTTTCAGTGGTCATATGTGGAAACTGCTTGCATGCTTAACTTCAACAAATGGTCAGAGGGTGAAGTTTCCTGAGGTCTGAGTAGATTTAGTAGCTTGTGGAAAGGGAGAGACTTGCCTCTGCTGCTTCCCTTTCTTTTGTTTCTGTGCATCTGACCTGTTGATGAGCCAGTTCTGCTAACAATAGGCAGTAACAACAAAACCAAATGTAGCACAAGTACAGACTTTCCAGCTGATCTTATGAACCAAATTAGCTCACCATGTAGTCAGACAAACCCAGGGATAAAAGGAGTGGGTGGATGAGTAGGAACTGTGACTGATTAAAGGGGTGGTGAGGAGCATGCATTTTAGTGTCAGCAGGCTCTTAAGTTAGTCCTAAGACTGTGTTGCCCCAAAATTGAAATCCATTAGAAAAATAAAGTTGAAACAGAGTGGAGATACTAGTTAAACTTATGTGTTCTTACACAACTTGCACTGACTCATGGTGAGTTAACCACTTTTCTACATAAACATCTTTGCCTTCTCTCCTAAAAGAGCAAATACAAAATGTGACATTAGTAGAATTTAATGTATTTTAATATCATCCCTTAGAAAATGAACGCAGCAGCATGGATTCAGCGATGTTCATCACTTGGATTCTAGCTATACCTAGTGCATATGTATGAAAACTGTCTTTAAAATATTTATGATTTTATTATGGGAATATAAATGTTGACTTTCAAACAGAACTCTTCTGGAGGCTCAGCTCTTGGAAGCTGTTGTATGTTATAGGAATTCTGCCTATAGTAAGCACTTCAGTGTTTGGGGTTTTGTCAACAAAGAGTGAAACTGGATTTTAGAAGCCAATCTCAGTGTTTGACTGAGGTCTCTCTTCTGCTGTGGTGCATTTAATTAAAATTCTAATTCCTTTCAGAAGAAAACCAATTTAACTTGTAACCAAAACCCAAACAACTTGTTCAAAATTATTTGCCTCTATGATACCTGTTGTAAAAGCTTGATTGCATTTTAACAAATGGGTGTAAGCTCAAAGAACTTCTTTGGGGTCAAATGGGTTTTTTTGCTCAGGTCTTACCTGCCAACACTAGCATAAATAGGTACTTATAGCACTAAGTACAAACATTCAAGCAGTGTGTTTACATAAACAGTAGTTATTACATGTCTTATGATATCTCCCAAAGAAAAAGTTACTGGGAAAACACCTAGTTAGTATACTGCTTTACTGTTCTGCAGCCGTGATTGTTGGCATATAGTTTATGAGCAAACAGTGTTGCGTTTAGTTGCACACAAATAGTCATAGTAAAAGGCATAGCTATAAAGGCACTAGTAAAGCCAAAATTTAGCTTAGAGCTACCAGTGGTGAAGAGACAACATTGGGAAAACATGCATGCATTTCTTCTCTGAATGCGGCAGTGTTCAGCTTGAGCCATTTTGCATAGTAACTTATTTACCTGACAGGTGTGAACTTTGGTTAAAATTTACTTGTACAACATCCAGACTTAGTCAAAGGCAGCAAATTGTGTTTTGTTTTCCACATTATAGGTTTCTTTCTTCATACCACCACCACTTTCATTTTATAACCTTTGCCTCTTTTTAACCTGTCTTGAATGTCTCTGCTGTTCTCATGACGTGGTTTCCTGGTGGTTTTAGTTTTGCTATGTAGTCTTCAAGCTTTGTTTTGGGTCTTCTGAGTGTTGAGAGCAAGTGTTTATATGAATGGCAAAGGGGGATTGTTTTTATGCTCTCAGGGGCTTTTGTTTCTCAGTATTTAATCCAGCAAAACTGTTACTGTTTATTTTTCTTTTTTTTTTGCTTGCCTTTATTTCCAATATCTGACTCTGGATACTGGTGACAAACTAAAATTAGCTTGCTTACTGCCATGGGGGTCCAATTAACTAATAGTTTTCCAGAAAGACTGCAATGCATGTGAACTGATTTGGACTCGGAGGAGGAAGTTCTGAACTCGCTGAGCAGGAAGGGTGTAGCATGTCCTCTAGTTTAATAGTCTTTTGGCTGGAGATTTTAGCCCAACTGTCAGTGCTTCAAAGCTAGAATAAGTGATACTGAGAATTTAATAGGTTTGTTTTGTGTAATTTGGGTCCAAACTGAAGGATATCCTGTGATTGGTTTTACCTCTTGGCTTTGAGATTCTGAAATCCCTTTCCCTATAATCTTGGTAGTGCTGTTTAAGGACCTTTTGTACTTTGGTTGCAATAATACATTTAAGAAAATCAGGAACGGATAGTGAAGGATGAAGCTTGAAAAAATGTGAAGAGTACATTGGAAGCAAATATTAAGTCATATGTGGAAAAGCTTATGAATGAACTCTGGGAGATGGTGGTGTAATACTAAATTTATGCTTATCCATTTACATGTGCTGAGAGAACTTAAAGTATTGGTAATGCTTTATTTGTGTCTTATACAAATAATGAATTTCCTTTTTTGTGTTCACAGCTGCATGTAACTGATACTGTGGGTGTTAAACCACTGACTTAATTATTTAGCTAGTACACTACTGACCTTCTTTACCGGGAGCACATTGCAAACTTATTCTCCTTAATTTAGGAAGTTTTTTCATTAATTTTAATTTGCCTATTTGCTAGAATGTGAGGAATTTAAGAGGGAGGGTGCTGTTGTTTACAGCATGTGTTGAAGGTATGATCTTTGCAACGTAATAATTACTCTTTCTCTCTTTAGGAAATACACATAAAGGAACCCATAGAAAAGGAAGTAAATCCTCACTTATTACCAGGTAACTGTTGTGTATTGAATCATTATAATTAAATAATAAAAAATTAATCATATAAACAATATTTAAATATTCACATGTCTGCAGCAAACACTCATGTGACATCAGTGTCCCAAGTAGTAAATAGAGGGCTTGGTGTAACAACCTGCACAGGCTGAAAAGTTTTAAATAGCTGTATCTGCATGGGTTGTTTTTATAGAGTACAGTATCTTCAGGTAAGCTGCATATGGAGAACTGTCTACACTTCAGTTTGCCCTGTTTCTTAAAAGATAAAAGTTGGGTAGTTTTTTGCTTGTTTAGGAACTGAAGACCGAGAACTAGTGCAAACTTACTTTCTAGTTGCTTTGCTTCTACAATGAGGCTTCTACTATGTAGGCCTTTTGATGCCTCATTTGCTGTTAAGATTTTTTTTTTTTGATTTACAAGTCTTCCTTTTTAAAAAATGTTTTTCAAGATCAGGAAAGATGATGTTAGCAAGATAAAATACAGGTAAAAGCTTAGAGTAAACTAGTACAGTTCTGTTGGGTTTTCTGCACTTTATAGGAAAGACCAAGAGTATGGCTGATTATACCTATTAATACCTGTTTTACTTTCTTAAGCTTGAAGTTCAGTTCCTGCTAATTTTAAGATTAGAACTTCATTGACCATTATTTGTGCAAAGTTGTGTTTGAGAACTTTAAAATAGCCCAGGGACCTGTAAAATAAGTAACATCTCCAGTTAAAGCTATGAAAAATTAACTACGATGAACTTGTAATAATCAACTCAAGTGTTTCAGCATTCTTGGAGTTTAGCAGTAAGGAAAATTGGAACAGTTTTCAACTTACTTATTGACTGTATTAACTACTCTTCAGTGGGCTTTGGGTGGTGGTTTTTTTTTTTTTGAGTACACACTCATATGGTTGCTCTTTGCAATACCACATGTTGTTCTCCTACTGTGTAGAGCAGGCCATGCTTCTGGTTACAGAACTCATAAATGCATGCAGCTGAACAGTGTTCAGTCCATCTTGAGAATTGTTAATAACCTGGAATACTTTCAGTGCACTGATTCCAGGAGCTGCCTCTTAATCTTTTTGTATAACAGTGATGAAATACCTTCAGGCATACAGTTATGAATAGTTGTCAGGAAGTTAATCCTGAGTTTAAGATAACAATTGAAATAATTAAATTACAAATGTCAGTTATGTTGCAAGTCAGTGTTTCTTTTATGCAGGTGAACTGCTGCTTTGTGAGGCAAGCACGGTATACAAGTATATACAAGAAGATGGGTCAAATCGTGGCACCTATGGGAAACTTGTGTGCACAAACTTCAAGATTGCTTTCCTTGACGATGATTCTACTTCAGATGATAATGTAGGAAGACAAGTCTTCTAATTATAACCAAACAGGATCTGAAGACATATAGTGTCTCTGACTAAATAATCATGTCTTTCCATTTTATATAAGGATACAGGATGAATATAGATTTATAAGTTTTAATGGCTGCAAACTAATCAGTCTGCATCTGCTTGGTCTATGCAGATCCTTCCTCAAGCTCTAATGACTATTTAAGTAAAAATGGTGCAAGCCTGTATGTGGATGCTTACATTAGACATATTTTATAACTCTGTGTCTTGTGAGTTAGTAATTTTTTGAAGCTTAAGTTAAAAGAATGAATTGTTTTGAAAAGTAAATCAACAGTTTGTTTAAACCTTATTTCTGACTGCCGCCTGGTAGCAATTGCAAAAGTGCGAATGTCAAATGTACTTGTAATGCTGTATAACATCTGTCTGACTAGACTTTAGGCTACCTCTGCAGAACCATTTCAGGGCTGCACAAGACTGAGCAAGCTGATATTCAGTGGAAATGCTCTAGATAATTGTTTGTGTACCTCAGTAAAGCTCAGAATTATTCCATGCAAAGTCAGATGTTGACTGCAAAGATTTAAAAATCTGGCAAAACGTTTAAAAAGCTGGCAAACATTAAAAAAAGCTAAGAAATCCCCAAATCTTAGAAATTAGTTGAATCTTGTTTCCTTTGTTTTAGGTGCTCAAATGTAGCTGTCAAAGGGGAATGGTAATGGCACACCTTTTTCTGTGCTTGAGCATCTGAAACAATCTGGTCCATTTAGGTGATAAAAGTGAAGGAGAGCCTACTATATGGCGCTCAAGTGCAAGGTGATCTTGACAGTGAAGAAGAATGAGAATAATATGATTAACACACCTTGATTGTAGTCAGAAGTTTCTTGGGGTGAAATTTCAGGGAGTTTAAATGTTAAACTAAGACTTCTGCAGCCAAATGTGCATTTTTGGACCTTCTAGAATTAATTGGGACAAAGCTGCAGAGCCCTTTCCACAGGCGCATGAGATCTATGCTGAAGTTGGTAGTGACCATGCTAATTTCTGTTGCATCACTAACTTTTAAGTCTGGGGTTTGTAACATGCCAAGTCAACTATATTTCTCTTAACAAAAATTCAGTAGTAGCCATCTGATTCTGAGTAGTGCAGACCTGGAAGTAATTTGAATGAGGTTAACTCTGTTCACAGCTGTCTTCATGTAAAATGCAATTTGCTGATTACATCAGCCTTCTGGTAATAATATCTGATGTAACAATGTTTAATTGTGGCATCACTCAAATGTAATTTTTAACTCTGAACTCATGGAATGATAAGTGAAGGGCCCCAAATCACTTCAAGTTTGGCAAAACAGTAGATAAGAGAATTGGGTTGTGTGTGTCTTCATTTTACCCAGTGATAAATCTGGCTGTTATGTTGGAGTATTCTTGGGATGCTTGTTCTTTTAAGAGACTTTCTATTTCCTGCCAGATTCCCATAGCAAGGAAACTTGTCATAAAAGGGCTTGGATTACATCAAGCTACTGTATTTCCTGTTTACTGCAATAATTCTAGTTGGAAAAGTGACTCTCAATAGAAATGCATGCTTTGAAGCTATTTGAAAAGTAAAAACTCTACATTAAAAGCATGGCTGAGACTTAAATAAAACTGGATCTGCAGTTTATAAACTATGCCTGTGTAACCTGCATCTGTCTGTATTTTAGTAACTTCAGTGTTCTGCCTTACACAGCTTATAAGAATAATAAGTAATGCTGATATTAGAATAGGTACTGAATACATCCTTTACTTGTGAGAAGGTGCTACTGCTTAGCAGTGTGAGATTTCTAAGAATTTTTTTCATGTTCTAGGAGCCACAATTTAAGAATAAGATTGTAGGAGAAAACGACATAACCCTGCAATGTGTAGATCAAATCTATGGAGGTAGGTCAGCTTTCTACTCTTCCTTTAACATACCTCACACTTCTGCATGGACATCCGTTTTAGAAAACTGTTAAGAGTTGTCACTTTGGAAACTATGATTGGGTAGTCTGGAAAAAAACAGCTGCAGTTATATTTAATGATGAAATGACAGATAGGGGATCTATCAGAATCCAGTCTTATTCCTCAACCTTGTCAAAGCTACATTTTGAGTAATTATTTTGCTGGGACAGATGAAACAATTCCTTTGAAATGCCATGATTCAGAGCAAAGAAGACTGTACTGTGAAAAGTTTGATTAAGATTGGTGCACAAGGATCTTCCAGTGTTACCAACTATTTCTATAAATATGGAGGTATTCACTTGAGCAATGTGCACTGCAGAGCAGTACAGGTACCAAATTCCCAAACAGTACCTTTTGTTTGTGTAAGAGAACTTTGTTTTGTGAGATTCATGATGTCTTCAAAATATCAAAGGAGATGGAAAATGAGGTTTTAATTTACAAGTAAATCAATGAGTGTCTTGCAGGGCTTACAAGTATGCCTATATTGCAAAAAAGGTAAATGAGAACAGGGCTGGTAGTTTGTAAGTAGTGGGGAAGGCTTTATTGAGAAGCCTGACTTTGGGCTATCATTAGAGTATTCAGAGTATTTATGAGTGGTGGTATGCCTTCATGAAGGAGTGGACTAGGGGGAGACTAGTGGAGTCTGGTTATGAAACACTATTTAGTTTCATGTAAAACGGCTTAGCTGGCAGCACTTGAAGTTGTGAAATGATACATTCTCAAACAGAAGTGAACAAAGGGCTCTCGTGGGGGATTTATGGTGGTTAAAAAAAAATATTCTTTTTTTTAGGAACTTAAAATTATCTGAGTTGTTCGGGGACTTTCCCTTAGGCAAAACTACTAAATTGTGTTCTTTATGCATCTCAAAACTTTGAACTTACTATGCAGTCAGAATGTGAACAGAAATAATCACTGAGCAGCTGGCTTGCTGCAAGTTTGGTTTCTACCTTGCAGGAAGTAGTTTGGGTTTAAAAAAAAGTTGAGTGTATTAGCACAAGAGCTTGCCAGTCTGTTGTAGGATCCTTGTTTTGACTTGCTAAAACTTGGGCTTGAATTAGTTTCTTGAATTTTGAAAAGTCAAGCAGGGATAGCCTTATCAACTGATGGCAAAGTTCTCTTTGATATTTACGTAGACTTTTTAATTTTGCAGTTTATGATGAGAAAAAGAAACGCCTAACTGGACAACTGAGAAAATACCCGGAGAAGCTAATTATCTACTGTAAAGACCTTAGAGTATTTCAGTTCTGCCTGAGATACACAAAAGAAGAGGAAGTGAAAAGAGTAAGTATAGTAATGTAATTTGTTTTTCTTTTTTAAGCTTAGTGTTGGGTGTTTAGTTGTGGGAATGAGGGAAGGATGAAATTTACTCTGAGAGATCCCTTAAACTTGGATCGTTCCCAATTGAATGAGAAAGTGAGACTTGATTTCTCACTAACCTTATTCATTAAACATCGTTATGTATAGCACTGGCTGTTTGAAGAAGACTGGAGCTTGAGAGTACTATATGAAATCAGCTTCAGCTCAGGCAGACTTGTAAAGCTGTTCTGTTTGTGATACAATTCTATTGCATTTTAGACTTCAGCCTTTTTCATATGAAAGCAGTTATTTTCCTGATAACTTGGCTTCTTTTGACGGGTTAATCTGAACTCCAAACTAGGAGTGTAATACCTCTACTTAAATAGTAAGAGTCATTCTGGAAGTTAAACAGATATAATACTTTTCATTAAGCCAAGTAGGTATAGTGTCTTGCAGACAATGGAGAAGGGTTTCTAAAAGTCACTTTCAGCTGTTGGGGATAGAACCCATTGAACAGTTTTGTTTTACAACCTGGAGAAATCATGTTTTTTACACTGACAGTCTTAGTCTGTGTTTGGGTGTTAATTTTTGGTCCTTTCCTAGATCGTCAGTGGTATAGTTCACCATAGCCAGACTCCTAAGCTGCTAAAACGCTTGTTTCTGTTCTCTTATGCATCAGCTGCCCCGAACAACACAGGTAATGTTTTTCTATTTTTGAGTTGTATTTGTTGCATACTGTTAGTTCCTTAAGTAATCTGGGACACTTCATATCTGAGTTTGTGCTTGGCATGTGACTCTACCCTGCTGGCAGATAGCCTCAGAAGATTCATTTTTTCTCTTGTTACACACTGTTAGACTCGTTGGTAAAAATCTGTCTGCTGCTGGTTTCTGTGTCCCTCAATGTAGTTGCACTCAAATTTTCCAAGCAAGAGTAGCCTCACTGGATTGAAAACTTACGGTGATCAATATGTGCAAATGCTTTCATGTGCTTCTGACTAGAGTGCTCTCATCTAGAAAATATTTTGCTTATTTTATCAATGTGTTTTTTCTGTACTATTGAAGTGAACCAAACTTCCTGCTCTTAATTCTTAAATTATTACATTTTCAGTGGCATCTGACAGAAAGTATTTCCCTTTTTGCTCTTATTTGCAAGTGATTTTCTTCTCCTAGGCAACTGCAAAAAAAAAAGCATAGATTTGCATAGCAAGTTTCCAGTGGACACTGACTTCCTCTTATAGCTAACTTATTACATAATCTTTCCACTTGATTGAACTTGGCTGAATAATGTAGTAAGCTGCAAAATTCAAGATAAAAGGTTGTCATTGCACTTTCTAGCATTTCGTAATTCGGACTTCAGCTGAAGTAATAGCACTGTTCTGAATTAGGAACCTGATTCTTAGTACATCAGGAAAAACCTCTTCTTTCACAGAGGGAAATTTTGATGTACCCAAGGTATTAATCGGACATTTATCAAAATATGTCATGGAACTACAGAATCACTGAGATTAGAAGAAACCTCTGGAGTTTTAGTTGTGTTCTGGTCCATCTCCCCATGTTTAGAGTAGGATTATCTGCAGGAAGCTTACCAGGGTTTTGTCCAGTTGGGTTTTGAATATCGCCAAGGATTGAGACTCCATAACCTTTCTGGACAGCCTGTTTCACTATTTGACCATCCTCAGAGTGAAAAAGTTTATCGTTACATTTAAATGGGATTTGCTGTAGTTCAGCTTGTGCGTACTGCCTCTTGTCATATCACTGGATACCATTGAGTCTAGATCCGTATTCCTTACTCTCCTCCCCTGCTTCTGCTCCCAGTCAGGTGTTTATAGACACTGGAAAGATTTCTTGCCTCTCTGCACCCCCGCCAAGCTTTCTCTTCTCCAGGCTGAATGATCCCAGCTCTGTCTCTCCTCATATCAGGTGCTTCAAGCCCCTCATGATGTTAACATGTCTTCACTGGACTTGGTCCAGCAGGCCTGTGCCTGTGTTGTATGGGGGAGCCCAGCACCGGACACAGCACTCCAGGCATGGCCTCACCAGTGCTGAGCTGTGAGCAAGTCACCTCATTCAACCTGCAGGCAATGTTTTTTCTAATGCAGTCCAAGGATACATTGGCTGCTTTTGCTGCAAGGGCACATTGCTGGCTCAGGTAGTTTCTGCAGGCTTCATCTGTAATTCATCTGTAACTGCGTTCAGTTTGAACTACAGACATCAGAAAGACTGTAAGCTTTTCCAGGTAGAGACTAAACAAATGTGGGAGAAGCCTAGTCTTTGCTGCAACTTTGAAGTGTTGTGCCAGAATTCTTCCATATTTTAATAACTATCTTCAATAATAAATGCCTAGGTCTCACTCTTTATGAAGTTGCTACTGGACAAACCAAGTAGACTTCAGAAATTGGGTTTTATACCTCTTACAGTCTGATACTCTTAAAATCTTAACTTGTTCTTTAGAGCTCATTACTAATGTTCTGTTTCTAGCTGTAAATATTTCATCCATTTTATCTTCTTACAATGGCAAGTTGAAACTTTCCACTATATCTGGGGATTGTGGGTTAATGGTGGGACTTGATGATCTTAAAGGTCTTTTCCAGCCTAAACAATTCTATGATCTTCTGTGGAAATTCTAGCTCTGTTTGGTATTTCACTGTTAGCTGATGTTGCAGGATACTTAATTATGAAGGGTGTCAAAAACAATTGACCTTACTGCATAAATTATGTGGTGGTTATAAAGGATCTGAGGCTAAATCAACTTGCTGTCATAACTGTTGCTGAGGTGGCTAAATAGAAATACAGGAAAAGTTCTCAGTTGAAATGATTACGACTGAATTGCTTTACTCAATTCTCTGCTGTAATCCATTTTCTGCTCTTAGCAAGTGCCTGAAATGTTCTATTCAGTGCAAAACTTCTATCCATGGTGAAGGAATGAACTTTAAATGAAATGCAGTATCTGAATTGCAGAAGGGTTTTTGGTATGATTGTTAATTCTGCATTTAAGTCTGTCTATTATTATCTATATCAGCCAGTCAGCTGCACTTGTATACCGTGGTATTTGCTGCACAGAATCCTGGGTTTTAGGCTGGATATGAGGACAGCCTCAACTGTATGGAGGTCCTGTAAGAACTGATTAGTTTCTGTGAGAGAAACTATTCCTGAAGTTATCAGTTAAAGCAGTATTTGACAGAAGATTTGTTCAAGATCAGACAGAAGCAGTGTGTTGTACAAAGGCATTTTACCTTTGACTCGAGGCTTTCTGTACACAAGAGGTTTTGCTTGCTTACCTTAATGAAAACTAACTACTTGATTTAGGAATGCTTTCATGTTAGAATTCCTGATAGTCTGCAAAGTTAACATTATTGATGTCTGACAGATGGAAGAAACCAAACTGTGATGTTTGATACTCTTGAGGACTGGCGTGATGAGTTGGAGCGGACCAAAGGGAATGTGAAATACAAAGCAGTGACTACCAATGAAGGCTACAGAGTCTCTGAAAAGTAAGTGTGACCTGGTTAATAGTGACCTTTGGAAATACATCTCATCAAGACTTGCAAAAATCAATGCTACCTTTGATGCTGAGCATTACACAGTTGTTTAGGATTTTTTTAAGATCTGGTTTCCGGTTTGATTTATGGGATACTTTGATTTGGGACCTCAGGAGGTTATCTTACATAACCCCTGCTCAAGCAGGATTAACTTCAACATTAGGTCAGGCTACTCAGGATGTTGGTCAGTCAGGCTTTAAATAGCTCTAGGGGTGGAGAATACCACCTTAAAATGGAATAGAAAATATGTCAGTCTGGTACCTACACTTTTGTCATACTTACTGGTTAGGATGATGCTTTCTTAACTTCTGTACCTTTATTTCAAGTTAGATGCACTTGAGATTTTATGTTGTTTTGGCTGGGGGGCTGAGTGAGGAAAGAGTAACTGGTTTAAGGTATATCTGCAAAATGGGCTGATGGAAGTCAAGTTGTATTGCCTTTAGTGGAAGGTTAGAGATGTATACTTCTATCAGCTTAGCTAAGTAGTATCTATTGGTGAATCCTTTAGGATGTATATGTATACATCCTATACCTACATGCTTTGTGTAATATTGTTGTTTAATGGTCGGATCCTGAAGGGTTTTACAGACCTTGGAAACAAACACCGATTTTTTTTTTTTTTTTTTTTTTAAAGAAGTCTTACCTATTTATTGTAGAACTCTGACTTGAGAGACCCAAGCTGAGGTTAAGTACTTATCTTTGTTGCTTCTGTGGGCCTTGAACACAAATAGTATTGGCTGATATTGGAAATTGATGATCTATTAAATGACGTGCTTGGATTGTGATGCAAACTGCTTACAAGGCATGAAAACAGAACTAGTTAGATACAAGGGTATCTTTTGAAACAACAGTGAGAGAACCAAGGCAGTCTTACCAATCAGTCTTAGATGTTACAACTAAATGTTAGTATGTAATTGTAGCCTTGGAAAGGTAGGGGAATGTTGCAGTGAAAATAATGAACAGCTCAAGATTGGAAGAAAATACCTTATCCAGCTGAAAATAAAGGGAGGGTGTTGAGGACAATGTAATTCTCTAGTAGGAAGGATTATTGTAGCTGTAAGAGTGAATATATAATTAGCGTGTGGGCTAGAACGCTCCTCATCACTAAAAGGAGCTTGGAGATTGTTCAGCTTTTAAATACAAGAAACTTTTTTTTTGTTATCTTAGGCTGCCTTTGTATTTTGTTGTTCCCATATGCGTTTCTGAAGAGAGTATCTTGAAGTATGAAGGCAGAGGCATTCCTGTAAGTACATATGCACAACAGAGTAAGAGATCTTATTGAGAAGGCATAATTTCAACAAGCATTTCAGATGTTACTGCATATTATTTTTAGAACTTGGCTCACACACCTAGTCATCTATAGAAGGGGAAATAGGTGCTGGAAGGAGAGGTGCTTGAAGTATTCTGTATTCCCTTTAAACAGTGTAAAGCAAAATGGGGGTTCACAGTGCCCGTTTACTTATCAGCTGTCTAATGTCCTATAGTCTTCATATACTACTAGTCTGTCTATCCACCAGCCTGTTTTTCATGAGACGGAGTACTGACTGGCATCTAGCTGGGGCAGGATGTAGGCTTGAAATACTATTTGGATATTGGAGTGAAGACCATGAATGTGTGGATATAGATGAATACCTTCAGTTGCCTAGCTTGGGTACTGGTAAGTAGTATGGCTGTGATGAGGCAGCGTTTTTACAAAGCCAGGTAGCCTAGCTGAAAAACTAGTTCTACCAGTCTCAACAGAAAATGAAGTTAGATATACTGTTTTGCACCCTGTAGCAAGCTGGCTTTGGCTTCCTACCTCATACCAGAGTTTAAGAACCAGTAAGACAGAGTAGATAGAAACAAGGAGCCAAGTAACCTCACTTATGAGGTCTTACCTTAGTTGCTGCACGTCCATCGAGTTTACCAGAGAAATCCATATTCACTTCAAGCTCTTAATTTAATCTGTCCATGGAGAAGACAGTGCTGTACTGTGCTGCCCAATTTGTCCTTTCAGTTAGTTAGTGAAGTTCAAAATAGTTTCTTTCACTTTTTCTCAGATAGTCAACCAGACAAATTATAGTGGCTGTGACACAAACAGAAGTGTGTGGTGTTTGGTTTTTTGCATCTTGCATTGTGCAGAGGCCTTGTATAACTCTTCTAATTACTTCCAAATCCTTTTGGGGGAGCTACTGTCAAAATAGCTTGATTGTATTAAATCAGTTTGACATGGCAGTAAAAGGACAATATAGTCAATCTTGATGATGGTGGGGTTTCTGCATCCTTCTGAGGTGCACCTCCTGACTACTGTAAATTGGTAGCAGAACTCTGACTTCTGATTTGACTTGTGTAATATTTGTGATGAAAATTATTCTGACTCGCAGTTTCAAAGCAAGTTTAAAGATCGACTTCAGAGCTTCAGGCAGTAGGTGTGAGTCAGAAATTACATGTAAAGGGAAGTAAGAAGCTTTGAGGACTGACTTGCTACAAGGAATACCTGTAACTACACAATCTGATTTAGTTGTGGAGTTCTTGTTTAATATCATGTATATGCCTAGGTGACCCTTCATGTGTAGCTCACATGGAAAGGCATGACGGTGTATCTATTGTGAGTTATCTCAAGGCTGAAATACAAAAAAACCACCACTACACCTGTGTGGAGAAACTGAAAGCTAATATATATGTTACTTATAAGAGCCATCTTGCTGTGGCTTATTTTCCAATGTAATTTGGCCACAGACACTTTGATCAATTTTTTTTCAACTATGAGCACAGTTGAGAAAGTAATGTTCTGCTATAATCTGACATTTTATATTTCCCTGTGCTTGTATAAACCTTAACTTAAAACTTGCAAGCAATAATACAGAGTACTGAGGCATGTAGTTTTGGTGCAGATGTGGAAGTTTGCTTCTACTGGTGAGTTCGTTGAATACACCAGAAAAATCAATAAAACACAGCATGGACAAATTTCTTGTAATCACTCAGTCACTTGAGTAAATAATTTGTATGGGACAATTTACCAATTTTTATCACCTGGTAAATGTCTTTCTGCAGATCTGGTGTTGGTCTTGCCATAATGGTGCCGCGCTTCTCAAAATGTCTGCATTTCCCAAAGAACAGGATGACAGCACTTCACAAATGCAAAAAGCCTTCTTGGATGGGTCAGTAATAGCTATTCTGTCCACAACACTTTGCTTGGTATGGACCTTGCTTCTCTTTTTCCATATATGCTGTATCTTTTTAAGCTTGCACGCATCAGGAAACGAGTTGTAGATCTAAAAGTAGTTTTCTGAGGTGGAATAGGTTTAAGCCCTTGGCCTAACAGCATCTGTCAATTGTGCAGGACTGTAACATCACTGAAGGCTTACTTGTGGAAGTACTGACATATGTATCAGATGAAACTTTGTACAAACTGTGGCTTGTTATTAGGTAAAGCAGCACTAAAGCCTGTAGGTCTTAAGTACAGTTGAAGTATCAGCAGCTGATGGTCTCAACTGTGTTTGCAAGTAAGTGGAGTCTAGACTCCATCCCTAAACATGAATTTGCAAGATGAGTTTTAAATCTCTCTGAACTCTATTGTCTTCTCAGAACTAGATTTGTGTTCTTCAATAACTTTAGATAAAATGACCTAAAATCACTGAGACAATCTAGCAGTTCACTACTGCTACTTTCAGATGTGATGGCAGACAGCCCTTCGCTTCAGCTGAGTTAGCCGAATTAGCTCAGCAGTCTGAAAAATGCCAAAGTTAACATAAGGAAAGAGCACAGCTGCCTGGCTGAGAGTAACAGCAATGACTTGTGGTCTTTTTCTGACTTCTTTTTAACCTGTTGGGTGTCCTGGAGGGAACATCTCTCTTAGCAGCAAGCTATTAGATCAGGCTAGTATGTACTGTTTGTACTGCTTCACTGCCAGCTCCTTTCTCCTCATAGATGGAGAACTTGTTAATTACACAGAACTAACAGAAAATAGCTTGATAAGGCTCTTAAAACCTCTTCTGTTTTTAAAGATAATTATACTTGCATGGGAAAGGCTTTTGACCCTTTCTGCACATCCTCTAATGTTTCTCCCCTAAAATGCGGAAGTTTACATGACTTGTAGCCCTTTGTAATGCTGTTTGTGAAAGTAAGTAAAAGTAGCAGTAAGCTGTAACGAGGTATCAGCTGATATTTTGATCTCTTGTCTGTGGCCCTCTGGAATTGGGGCAGTATTGGTGGTTTTCTTTGCTATGGAGTACTGGTGGTTAACCACCAGTATTTAAAAATATATCTACAAATTGTCCATAAGGGTGTGTTAACATGCCATTGTAATAGTAATCTGAACTCAAGCACACAGCAGATGTTTACAATTAACAGCTTTTATTGAAATAGTTGTTTGAAGCCAGATCTTCTACCACATTGTTTACTTCAATTTGGAAGAAGTATTGTAATTGACACATGATCGCTTTTCCTGAATTATCTTATCTGATGCATCTTCCGGTAGGTCTAGTAACCTGCATTTCTGACGTGGACTCCGGTAGTTCTCACTTTAAGCAGGCTTCTCTGCTAGAACACAAAGTAAACAAAGTACTTGTCCTGTCTGGGCAAGTGCCTGCGAGGCTTCACTTCTGAAGTATGAGCTAGAGCAGCTTTTCCCAAATCTTCACAATACAAAGCCAGCATGACAACAGAGGTTTTTACTTAAGCTGATGTCCATCTGAGCTCTGGAGCCTGAATGAAAGGGGACGTTCTGGGTCCAAACCAAAGCTTCATCTGGCCTGGTATTTTTTCCTCTCCTCCTAGGGAAAAAATTAGCAGATATGTAGGGAAGTACAAGGCAGGTATACTGTCTTGTTTGAGTCCAAATTGTTTCTTCTTTCTTTTACTCATTTGTTTCATTATCAGACCAGGCAGCTAGGTATCAGAATGTAATTTCGTTGGTAAAAGTCAAGAAAAATTTTAAGTGTCTGCTGGGAGGTTTGGGTGTTCTATCCATCTCCTCTTTCTGGATTCACCTCTAAATAGCCTGCTAGTAAAGTAATTTTGGTGTGTCTAGTGAAGACAATACTAAAGAAGCAAAAATCAAGTGGTGGTTGTAATATTCATAACTGCACAAATATGCACGAATATAATTTTATCAGTGTAACAGTTAAGAGCAGCAAAACTTGTCATAACTTGTAGGCAAGCTTCCAGACAATGTTTAAAAATGCATGGAGGCCATTAGCTTTCTAGGGTGTGTACCTCTTCACCTTACAGCTGTTTCCCAAACCATACCTATTAACTTTGTCTTCGGTAATAATGGTTGGTGCATTATTTGACTTGTGAAGCAGAAGGGCTTTAATCTCTTGATGATTTGATTTAGAATCTATAAGACAATTAGCAAACCTCCCTATGAACTCCTGAAGACGGATGACTTGTCAAGCAGCCTTCCATCTCTGCAAGATATCCAGACTGCATACATGAAATTTAAACAGCTGTTTTTGATAGGTAAGTCAAACTTTAGTCTTTTGTCTCTAAAGTGACTGAGATGCAAAGCATAACAGTGCTGTTTTATGTCTCATGAGTACAGCCCTTGCCTTGATTCGTGTCTAGCTTTTGACAGTGGTTAAAAGCAGACTTTTAAATATGTAACTGAAGACTGTGCTTATGACTGGAATGTTAATGGAGACTCCTAGTTCTTAGACTTACTACCTCTTGCTAAGCAGTCACAATATCTGAAAATTACTTTTAAAGAGAGTGACTATGAAGTTTAAATGTTAGTGGGATTCACATTTATGGGAGGGATTTTTCAATCTTCTGTGGTCCATTGAAATTGAATATTAAGTGTTAACCTTTTAAGCCTTTGTGCTATGTCAAGAGCTGAGTCTAAATGCTAATAAATTTTTGCCCTAGCTGTTGTTACAAACTAGTCACATCTCAAAACATATTAAGTGTGAGCTTGTTTAAAATTCTGTCTTAGAAGGCTGTAGGGCTAAACATGACTACTGTAAATACTAAGTCCACTTGAAAGGAGTAAAAATGGGAGCCATGTGGAAGTATAATCTAGGCTTTCAGACTGTTTTCTGGAACTCTTACGTATTTTGCTGTTATGAAACAGTACTTTGCCCTCACGTCTTGGCATGACAAAAGCTCCACACCACCTTGTAACTGTGCAATGTGCCATTGGGCCATTTTGGACAGTGGGTCTTTGTCGCAACCCAGGGTCGCTGAGGTTTTGTGATTCTCTTGGGCTAAATTAAGGTGAAATGACACCAGACAATCGGTTAAACACTTTAGTGGTGGTAGAAACAACCTGAACTGGGAAAGCATAATGGTAGGCAACGGGGGTTCTAATTGGAATACTTACAAGAAGAAAAGGAAAAGAGGAAAAAGAGGGGGAGAGAGTGTGAGTGTTAAAACCACCCTTGGATCGCGCAGTATTGGTGGTAGGTGTGACAATCCTCTGGTAGCGCATGTGTGCACAGCTCCTTGGATTTGTGTCTTTTGTAGACCAGTCCCTGTAGAGCAGTCCCTGCCTCTCAGTTGCACTGATCCCACCCCCTTGAGGACTTACATGGTTCTTGTTCCAGAATGTTCTTGATCGTCTGTGCAGGTGCCATTGTGGTCGCAAGGGGTCTTTCAGGTGGTCATGAACCCCTTCCTCAAATGAACTCTGTATGATCTCTGGCCATATATGGTGAGTTGTAAGGTTGGACTGCGCATCTCCTGACACACCTTCCTGGCTCTGTGCCAATCGACTTCTCACCTGTGGTTTAGTGTTATTATGCAGATTTTAACTTGTCTCACCAAATGTTTGAGACATCAACATACATTAACTCTTTCAGTCCCTCACACTCTTCTACAAGCTAATGAAGGTAAATGTTGTAGTAACCTCTGTCTGGAGGCGTGCTGAACACTGGGGCAGTTCACCTGTGGCTGTTGATGTTGGACATAGCTGAACTGATCATCACTGAGGAACTGTGTGTTTGCAGTGTAGCCTACAGACAGTATCCAAGTCCTATTTGTTTTATACATGGAATTTCACTGGTAAGTTGATATTGATTGCAAATTAGTATGCATGGTTTCTGGTAAATATGTAGTAAAGGTTTTAGTGACACTCTGAAGAGAAGTCTTAACACATATGAGATATTTGGCAGTGTTTCACATTGAGGATTTTGTCCAGAATACACTGTCAAATCCACAGTGAATCTTAGGAGCTAAAACCAATTACCTATATTTTCATGCAGTTTCTGGTAACCTACCCTCCTATAGGAAAAAGGCCAAAGTTTGAATTTAACATCTCTCAGGAAATATTGCATATTTCCGTGGTGTAATTGTATCATTGTCTTATATTACTTGAAGCAAAAGGGAATATGTTAAAACTGCATTCCAGTGTTTTTGTCTTACAGCTTTTTAAATCAGCTTTGTTAGTAGGCTATAGCTCACTGAATATAGCATGATGCACTAGCAGTCTGAGAAAACCATTCAGGTAACTTCTTGCAGAGGTGTTAAGATCTTACAGGAATTGACTACGTTACTACTGTCTTTCAAAGTCTGAACACACTAACCATTATTTTTGTTCTAATTTGATTTAGGTAACTTCCAGTGTAACTTAAATTTCCTGAACACATGCCCAAACTGAAGTTTCAGTTATAAAAATTCTCATTAAGTAAAGCAGAAACCACAACAGTAGGTAGCTGCTTGAAAGAGAATTTTGATGGGGAAAGCTTGGATCCTCTTAAATTGTTCCTCTTATTTGAAATGTGGCAAAGGCAGATGCTGTTTCTGCTAGACTGCTCACAAGTCTCATTGTATGCCATTTCCCCACATACTTTAAATGAGGCTTTGAACACTTCAGTTCTCAAACCCTAGTGGAGTCTAGTTGAGTATTTCTTCATTGTCCTAGAAGTTAGGGAGGAAGGGAAAACTTGCTCTCTATTGTGATGCTATTAAGCAAAATACCTTGATTAAGGGGTATAACAAGCTGCAAGTATTTTGTTGTGCCTTTAAAAACAAGTTCCTATTTTGACTTGGAGATGACTTTGGCTGGGGAGAACTGCCAGACCAAGCAATTATTTGTAGAGGCCTGCATACAAGTGGCTGAGTCTAATTGCTGTTGAGTATGATTGAACAAAACAGCCACACTTAATGTTGCTACTCAACTTTTTAGAGTAATACTCTTCTATACTGTCCATAATGTAAGAAAACTAAAGAAAACTTCAGTATGAAATACAAATGTTATCACTATAGATAAAAGCCTGTTATTTCTATAGGAAAAAAGACACAAATCCCTTTTCCTTGGTATGGTTTTCGGGTGGTTTTGAAGGACTAGAAATTGGTACTATGATTTTGCCGTGATTCAGAACGGACAGAGGTTTTTCAAATAGTGATGGCAGGCTAAAATGGAACATGAGATTTGGGTGTAAGGGAGTATTCTAAGACTCGGATGGAAAGAAGGTGAACTGGAGAGTAAAGGGTATCTTTCTTGAAGTACTGTATTGTATGTACTTTAAAGGGTATCATACTTAAAGGTTTGAAGTTAATTTGAAGATGTTAGAAAAGATTGGAGAAAACTACATCTAATGTGAATGGAACTAATTAGGGACCTTTGAAGATGCATTCTAATGCTTATTTTGTGGAGAACTAGTTTCTGTGGCCAGGGTGAAATGAATCAGGGAAAGAAAGTTGGGGTTTGGGGGGGTTTTTTAATTTGTAATGAACAGAATGAGGGGCGTGAGCAGGCACGGAGGCAGAACAGCTACAGGAACAAAACAGATAAATGTCTGTACACTTGAGGGTCATAGATGCAAGCTGCAGAAAACAAGACAGAAGTGAGTATGTGTTGGAAGTAAACATGGGAAGTATATGGGGAGACTTTGGTAGGTGAAACGAAGTTACACAGAAACATACAGGGCTGAAGCTATTGGGGGGAGGGCAGGGAAGGAGGGAAGTATGGTGTATCTTAGTTGTTTCTCAGTAATAGAACTGTGTTGACCTTGGGCTTCACAGTTTGTGTCTGATGCAGGAAAGGTAATCGATTCTGGTTTTAATTGACTGTACCAGCTTGCAACACCTTTCCAGTTTCTGAATACTGGCTTTGATAGAAATAAAAGCAATAGAGATTTAGGTTGCATTTAACCAGCCACAAAAATCTGAGTGACATTCGTAAGAGTTTAGTGACTTTGTGGTATTGTCCTTGGCCTCCTGGTTTATCTTAGCTATTCCCTTTTGATGTATTTTAATGCCTCTTCAGTTGCAGTGAAAACTGTTTAAAACCTTTTTCACATAGTCTTACATCCCATAAATTTGTGTAACCCCCTTCTAAAACTCCTTCATGTTTCTGGCTCTAATGGTGATGACTTTCAAAATCCAGCTGTCTTATGTTAAGCTTTATACAGATCATGCTTTAGAGTCATGGCAACTGGAACTTGGAAGAACCATCTCCTCTGATTAAACTTCTTTTATTTCCTTTCGCATTTTGTCAACAGATTTATTTACTTGGTTTGGTTGCTATGAACCTACAGCATACTTTTTCTAAAAGCCTATGGTGCTATAAAACTTTACTGGTGTTTGTAGGACTACTTCACCTCCTCATTTAGTTACAGGGTGTTGACTTTAGCAGTGATTAAGATTTACTGATTCTTTAGTATTGGTTGGTTTATAACAGTTAACTACTGAAGAGTAATACAATGGATGGCTGCTAATTAGCACTACATATATGTGAACAAACCAATTTTTTGTTTTGTTTTTTGCAGATAACAGTACAGACTTCTGGGCAACTGATGTGAAATGGTTTTCATTACTGGAGAGCACAAACTGGCTAGAGATAATCAGGTTCGCTATATCCATAATGTTCTGGGTTTCAGATTGTTGTTAAATGCATTTGTTGTGGGTTTTCTAGCTATTTTCTTGAAATATGATGGCATTCTTCACCTCCAGTAGGAAAGAAAATTAAGACAGACTTATGCTCCCATTTATGTGTCTTATTTCTACAACTTGAGACAGTATTTTTACAGCACGGGCTTGTGTTAAGCCTCCCACATTAAAGGATGTGAAAAGCAGCAGATCATTCCAATTACAACTATTCCACCAAATCTGTTAGACTTGTAATTTCCCTCCTGCACTTAGTCACCGTCTTTCCAAACTGAAGAATCCTATTTGTTTCTTGCATGAAACCTATTCCGTGTCTCTGACTAGCCTTGCCGTTCTTCTCTGTACTCTCTACTTCTGTAATATCCTTTAGGACGGGATGAACTGCAGTATTCAAGATGTTAGCCCACCAAAGATTTATAAAATGACAGTTGTTCTCAGTTTTGTCCCCTTCCTCTCCTGATTGTTCCTCAAGTTCTTTTTTCTTCTCTCAGCAGTCCGCAGTGAGTAAGTGTTGGAATGGTGTTGGCTAACTTAAGGCTTGTTATAGTGGAATGTTGAGGGTTTTTATTTTTCAGAGTTACTTTGTGCTAGCTTTAGTGTCTGTCAGTTTATTCTGTGATCATTTGTTACCATGAAGTGCTTCTGCAGTATTCAGCAGTCAACTTTAGTTCTCTCTAGTCTTAATAACAATCAATAAATATTGATAGTTACTCTTTCCTTAATTCAGAATATAAATGTATATTGAATGAGAGGTTCTAGTGAAGATCATGTGTTGAAAAATGCATTGGCATAACCAATATTACAAGTAGTTTAAATGCCAGCCTAAGTTCTGTCCTTATGTTCTTTTGAGACTGGTCATTTCCATACTTGAATCCAATTGCTTCCTGGATCAGCCTGGTCTTGGCTCTTGCAGTTAGTAGGAATTGCTTCTCAGCTATTCTAGGTGCTAGAACAAAGCATCTGACAACTCCACACTTACAAAATAAACTGTCACCTTCTGTTAGTGACCTAAGCAGTTGCAAGAATCCTAATTTGTGTGCAAACTTTTGCTGAAATTAACCAACTTTATGAAGAGTTAGGTCTTGAAATGAACAGTGTTACATCTAGCTTTCTGTGATCTTTAATTCCACTCAGTCTTCCTTGTGTAATGATAATTTCTGAATAAATTTTGTCTGCATGTTTACAAGATCTGATTGCTGATCCTTCCCTCTGCCTCTTAAAACCAGATTATGGGAGAAATGTAGTATGCAGTAGATTAGAACATAAGTGTGGTGATTTTGACTCTTTCCAGGACAAAGATCTGGCTCTTAGCAATTGTAATACTTCCGTGTGTATGTGACGGCTGCTATTGATCCAGAATAAAGTATTGTATTACAAATGTACAAAGATAACTGCAAATTCATGACCAATGGGCAAATAAAGATACCTCTTGAGAGTTTGCTCTTGAGGCTAAACAGTTCTTCATTTACTCAAGTTGAGCATGGGTTTTGTTGTTTTAAAGGACTAGTCAAGTTTCAGTAGTATGATATTCTAACCCCTTTTAGGGGAAACTAATACAAGAAACTTAATTGTAAAAATGCTATGAAAATGTTCACTTACCTTTTCCTGTACCACAACAGGCGAGTCTTGAAGAAAGCAATAGAAGTTGCTGAGTATCTGGAAAGACAGCACACAAATGTTCTCCTTATAGGTAAGAATTTAATGAGATTGTCCTATATATGTTTTTTTCTTAAATTCCTCTTGAATTTCTTTAGATGTAGCTTAAGCTGTAAGTTTACAATGATGGTAGAGGCTGGTAAAATTCATAGAGTACTTGAAGTACCAGATACCTAAATCTTTCACACTCCTGGAAATGCTTCCTGTAGCTAAAAAAAACATGGTAAGCGTAGTTCCAGGCTAAGAGAAACATGTTGTGAATGAGAAAGCTGCTGATAAATTGGCAGGAGAATCACGCTACTTCTTGTTTATGCATTCCTCTTTCCTAACTTATTTTATTGAAGGTCTCCTAGACCTTTTGCTGTACTTTAAGAGGCTGGGGGGGACACACCTACACAAACAACACGGAACATGAAACCTTTCTAAAGGGATGGTTTTATATTCTACATACACACTGTACACTATTTAGTCTCTTTATTAAGAATACATGAAAGAATATACTTATTGTACACATCTTGAGCAGTTTGTTTTCCTAGATTGAATAAAGTAACCACATGGAAAACCAAACTCAATGTTAACCATTAAGCTATTTTTGGATTAGTAATTTAGTTGGGTTTTTTCCTACACACTGCCATTTGAGAAATGTAGTATGGGGAAGACATGTTTCTAGAAGGCACCTGAAGGGTGAAGAATGTATGTTGCATGAGGAGGCAATTTCACACTTTGTGAAAAGATGCATACAGGACAGGAGAGCAGATAGCTGTCCTGGTAGCATAGGGCAGGAAGGGCAGTATGTGCATTGTGGGAGACTGAAGGTCATAGGCATCAAAGTTATAGTAGTAAAAGCTTGTTTTGTGCAGGTTTTATTGTCAAAGTATTATCCTAGTGTAAGTGTACAAGAAACCTTACGTTTTTATAAAGGGAAGTATTGGAAATGTGGATTAATTTCTGTCTGATGCTAGAACACTTGCAAGAAACTGTATTTCTCTGATCTTGAAATACAATTTTGTTTATGTGAAGCTAGCGATACTTTGCTTTCTTATCCAAAGTTTTAGGAATGGCTTAGTGGACAATGTGGTTTCTGTTCTCTTCTGTAGAAGAGAGTGCTACTGATCTGTGCTGTGTGATCTCTAGTCTGGTTCAAGTGATGATGGATTCATACAGCAGAACAAAGTCAGGGTTTCAAAGCCTTATTCAGAAGGAGTGGGTGATTGGAGGACATGGCTTTTTGGATCGTTGTAACCACTTGCATAAAAGTGACAAAGAAGAGGTACCTTTTTTTTATTGCTTTCCTTACTTACTATTTAAAAGTTTACTTGGCATAAGGAGGGATTTAGATGTCCAGAAGTTCCAATCACTCTGAGGATATTTAATTTTATATTCTGTTTTATGGGTTGATGTTTTGTACAGTGTCACTATTTTTGCTGTTTAGAGTTCAGGAAAGTCTTTGTAACTAAAGAGAAAAAATGTAAAATTTCCCATTCAATCTAGGAGTCTTCTGAAAGACATGTATCTCACATCCTTTTAAACTGTGTTAAACGGCAGTAGTGTCCATAGAAATAACTGAAGTGAATTGCCTATTCTTGTCACATCTAGAGTTTGACTTTATACTGTTGCTCTATGTTGCAGTCTCACCTCTCCATTTTTGTTTATATTTTGGGAATAGATCAGATTGCTATACAGAATGGAAATAGTAAGTGTAAACTGACTAGTTCTGATCAAGAATTGCTATAAACTAGTTTTGCTTTGCCAGCTTTAAAAGGCTGCGGAGCAGCAGCTTTCATAGCAAGTTAATGTGTGCAAATTCAGGTTAGAAAGTGTTCGTCTCTTCTGTCAACAATTGGCCAAAGGTAGCTTGGGTTATAGCTCTTCAGAGTTCAGCCAAAGTTATATGCAGTAGTTCTGCAGTGAACCAGATTGCTTTCCTTAAGATTTGTGTTCGGAGACACTAAATAACTATAAAATAAATAGTCTGCATGGTGGAACATATTTTTTTTCCTGAAACTGATGCAATATTTTCTTTATGTAGGCTCCTGTTTTTCTGCTCCTGCTAAATTGTGTTTGGCAGTTGGTACAACAGTATCCTCCAGCATTTGAGTTCACAGAAACTTACTTAACTGTGTTGTCAGACAGCCTCTATGTGCCTATTTTTAGCACTTTCTTCTTCAACTCGCAACATCAAAAAGACACTAATACGGTAAAGGTTTGTTATTTTGTGGATGTAATGTGTTGGAGAACAGGTTTGACCAACAATCAAGGAACACTCAAAAAAATAATTCCCTAGCAGCATGTTTTTCCATACTTATTTGAAGGGTGAATAAGTGCAACTTTGGGTGTAAGGAGTCAAGTTTACAACTTGTTTATGATTTACATAAACATAAGTTTATAATGACAAAAGGAAAATAACTCAGGAATATATTACTTCTAATGTGTGGCTATAGGTTCATGTTTATTGCTCTTCAAGGAAAATTGAGCTCCTTAACCTAAGAGGAATATCCTGCTGTCCTGCAGAATAAGTTATCTACAAAACTCTTGTCTGGTATATTCTGTTGTATTCCAAAATCAACATTTCATGAATGCTGATTTACATTTGGTTCATGCTTTTCTCTAGCCCAAGAAGCTGGAAGCAATGGGGGTATCCTCTGCAAGGCTGCACAGAGACTAAAAAAAAAAGTGAAGAGCACTGTCTTGCATAAAAGTAAAGCGTTGATCACAAAACTTAAACTGGTAGCACTGCATAACTGCAGTTAACTTTTGAAGATTGGAGAGGTTTATTCCACAATCCTAACATGCCCCCTGTGTTTGAAGAATTCAAGTGTCCATCTCCTGCCCAATTTTCAAAGCTTTGTTGTTTTCCTTAGATTATTTAACCTTATTTTCAACTGTGAAAGGCATTCTTAGTGCTAATTGCACTGTTGAAATGAAATACTGTCTGAAGTTATAGAAAATAATATGTAGATAATCTTTGTCTGTGTACTGTCTTGGCATCTAATAATGTTGTTCAGCTATTGAATACATAGAAATCATGAGTGTTGTTGCAATTCTGTGGCCTCTTCTGTGAAAAGCAAATTTCTTAATTTCACCTTGACTTAGTCAGAATTCCTTTCTAGCAGCGTTAATTGTGACCTGTTTGTTTTGGCAGAGTGGTGAAAGCCTCAACACACAAAGCGGTCCTTTCAGATTTCTTACTGTGTGGGACTGGTCTGTGCAGTTTGACCCCAAGGCCCAGGCTTTCCTGAACAACCCTCTTTATGCAGAGAAGCCAAAACCAGATAAAAGTCAACGGAAAACTGCACGATTCAAGGTAAACTATGTGCTGCTGCTATGTGCTTTATATTTTTTTAAAATCATAAAAATATTTTGCACAACTCGTACTTCAAATGTACTCACAGTGGAAGTATTGGCACAAAGTTTTTTTTAATTGACAAATACATGTGCACCTCAGACTCACCTGGATCTTAAGAATACAATTTGAACCCACCTCAGTTATAAATCACTGTTTTGCAGTTACTGTGTATATCCACAAACTTAGGTGGGGTGTTTTTCCTCATGCTTTTGTGCAAGTGTAGTGATAACTCATGGGACTTAACATCCAGGTGAGTTGCACTGAAATGTTTAAAGTGAATTTATTTTGTTTTTCCACGGAGTACCTAACTGAAATACACAACAGGTTCATTAACTGCCTCCCTAATTTTGTCTGAGTGCAACTGGAGTGTGTGTGTGCACTTGGAGGGGGAGGGGGACCAACAACAAAAACTGTCTAGGGTGTGGAGGATTATGGGTGGACCACCTCCATTACTGGAAAGTAGCACAAATTCAGTAAGAAAAGTTTGTTTGGAATAGCCTCTTTTGATTGTAATATCCTCACTGGTTAAATTCTGTTTGATACAAAGTGTTCTCAAGTGAGACGCTGTCAGTATGGTCTACAGGATTAATTGGAGAACTCTTACACATTGCAGGGATGCAATGAGGAACCACTGGATAAAAACTTGCAAGCCAAGTGCTCTTTGATTTGTGTGGCTAGCTTAAACTAAATGCAGAATGTATGCCAAGAATTCTCCTTTTTCAAAGAAATGCTTTATTCAGTGTTACTTCATTGCTATAGTTACAGTGCAGGGAAGGTATCTGCAAATACTAAGTATGCTGTGTGAAGTATTTGGCGTATTAGCCATTGAAGAGTAACAGTTTTAGACTATATAGCAAAGTGGCTGTGTTTAAGTGGTTTTGTTGCTTGTGTTTTCTGAATACAAGTTATGTTTTTCTTCCTCTTAATATGTTTTCTAAAGTCCCATCAATATTTATGTCAGTATATTTTTCTTTTCTTTCCTCTTAAAGCATCAGCGGCAACTTTCTTTGCCATTGACGCAAACAAAATCTTCCACGAAGAGAGGATTTTTCAGGGAGGAAACGGATCATTTAATTAAAAACATTCTGGGTAAAAGAATTGGCAAGTTCATAAATTCTTCAGATGAACCTTCTGATAGCTTCAGGGAATTTTATGATAGTTGGTGTAGTAAACCTGTTGACTATCACGGTCTTCTGTTACCTCGCATCGATGGCCCTGAAATCAAAGTCTGGGCACAAAGATATTTACGATGGATTCCTGAAGCGCAGCTTCATGGTGGTGGTACAATAGCCACAGCTGCCAAGATTTTTGACTTGATGGAAGAAGTGCAAAGCTTGCAGGTGAAAATGGATGAAGAACATTGTCAAGCTATTTCTGGAGATGTACATCCTGTTCCACTGCTGAGAAATTCTGCCCGTTTGTCATCCTTGTTTCCATTTGCTTTACTTCAGAGACAGTCTATCAAACCCGCTTTACCTACTAGCACCTGGAAAGACTTGGAAGATGAAGATGACTTGGTCAAGAGGGATGATGAATTTGTTGATCAAAGTGGCGATATGTCATAAAGTGTATATAAATTAAAGTATGCATTGTATGTGGCTAAGCTCTGAGTTGTAAATGTTGTGCTGTATCCTCATATAAGGAACTCACTCAAGCATCTACAGCCTGTTTAATGGGTTTGTGGGGTTAAAAAAAAAAACTTCGTTGGAAAGAACTATTTGCAATGATTAGCTGAGCATATTTTGAACTTCCATTTCACTTTAACAGTACTCATTGCAGAAAAACATTTTTAGCGTAGGTGTAATAAAAATGGAAGTCTAGCCTGAGGTAGCCACATGGCCAGTTCCTTTAAAAAAGAAAAACAAACACCACAAACCCATTATTTTTCTGATGTAAAGGTGGAATATTAAATACATACAGCAGCACTTGCTATCTTAATATAAAACCTCTTCCCCTTATGCTAAGAGTACTAGGATTGGAAGTACTGTGACTAGGAACTTAATACATTTGCATTTCCCCCCATGTAAAATAAACAAGGAAAGGTACAACTAAACGTGCATTCACAAATAAGCTTTCTACAGCTGGGGAATAAACTTCTAGTCACCAGGGGTTTTCTGTCTACTGTGTCATCAACTGAAATCGTGGTGCTTGTCAACCTTACCTTTTCTGACAGTGTTCATCTTTGGCTTGCAGCACTTCACCTTGTGTGGTATTACAGTAGCAGCTTGGCTGCTCTGAGCCTATGCATGCACTCAGCTTAAGGATCAGATGCAAGAGTTTAACTACACGTTTCATGTCTTATTGTGTGGCTGCTGTGCTATATGCCCTTGCTGCCTTGGAATATTAAGCCCCAAATGTTTGCTGTTAAATGTAAGAAATGGCCTGACTCTGACATTCTAATTTGCTATGAGTATTTTTTTTCTCCTTTTATATGAGCGAGACTTTCATTTTGACTTCCCCTTTTATGCCAGTTGCCTTTGAGGCTTTCTGTACCTTGCACTGAGACCCTCCACATAGAAGGGAAGACTTTTTCTGTAATCCTGCAGTGAAGCTGGATTTGGAGTCTGTGGCCACTTGTCATGAGTTGGTGGTACAGCTTATGAATGTGGCGTTCATACCGTATGAACACTTGCATCCTGTTGCTGGATGTTATAACAGTACCTCAGTGAAAAAAGCCATAAAGAAATGCCTGTTGACTTTGATCTACTGTGTGTATGTTTATATCTAAAGTATTTTTACTGCAAATAATTGTCCTTTGTAGAATATTATTTGACTGTCAAATCTATTTTGAGCCCTTAAATTCTAGAATACCCCAAGAATGGATGCAAGTCATAAAATCAGTTACACTGGGAGAGTAGACATTGACTAATTAGTCTATTCTCATACCAATGTAGTTTTCCAGCATGGATTTCTTAGGTAGTGAAGAAACTATTGCTAAAATTGGATCAACTCAGTGTAGTTGGGGATATTAAACTGGATTACTGATCCATCATTTCACACTGAGTTGTTTTAATATGTATAGCAAAAATTTATCAGCAGCCCTGTAAAAATACATTTATTTTAACATACTAAAACTTATTAAAGGGAGAGGGAGAGAACTTAATGCAACTATGCCAAACTGAAGCTTCCCAACTCTTGATTGCCTTAAGTCTTAGTAGTGCGAGGACAATACTTGAGTTTGTAGCATTTTATTTACAAATACACTAGCACTTATGCTTCCTTCTGGGATACATATGATCTTACAGCTGGCACTTGCTAGAATGTCCAGCACATGTCCTTCAGACTTCATTATTGTAGTTCAAGTGACTCATGTATGCAATAATACTTTGCATGTTGAATGAGCAATGCATTTTTATGGTGAAGAAATACCTGTCATTCAAAGGTCATTTCTGTTCAACGGGGATTTTTTTGTTTTAAACACTGCCATTAGAAGAAAATATTAAATAGATTTTTCTATACTTTTGATCAAACTGTTGTAATGTTTCAGTCATGAAGATTACATATTTATATTAAAGAACAGATGTTGGACATCTTATTTGTACATAAGTTATGAGAAGTTTATATAGAAGAGAAACATATATGTGGAATTGAACACGGGAACACTTATAATGTAGAGTGAATACCATTGTTACTGGTTTTCTGCACTGTGGGATTGGAAATGTACTTAATATTTTTACTCCAGGCTTCTGTTTATACCTCCAAGTTTTTACACTGAATGCAAGCTAGAAGCTTTACAGTTTTGGGGTTTTTTTTAATACTGTCATTTCTCTCTAGCGGGCTGTTTGGAGAATGTCAATAAAATATACTTTGATGTATCTGTCCTGAAATGAGAATGTATGTTTAAGGTCATATTTTGCAAATGATGCTTTAAATCATAACGAACTTGACAATCTGCAGTGACAAGGCTTTTCTGGTTATGTACTGGGTTTTTACAGACTGTTATAAGGAGGAAGCTGTGCAGTTTTGACCTGGTTATACTTACTGGAGAGGTGCTGTCGGCTCAGGTAAGAGGAGGGTTCAGCGCCATGTAGTAGGATGACTATGGGAAATTACTAAGGTGGTCTAGAAAGTGCCTGCTGAATGTCAGTGTTTGGGGGTTTATTAAACACTGTTTATTTCGGTCTCAGCAATGTACCTGTCTTCCCCCATTTCAAGGGGGAGCATTGTTCTTACAGTGTTAAACTAAGCAACTTCTTGAAATCGCTACAGCAGGATATTTCTCAAACCAGATGTGTACTGAGCATGAACTGGGAGGTGGTCACAGTGAGCTATAGCGTACAAATTTAAAACTTTTTTTTCCCCCCACAGATTACTAGCTTCTATATAAAAACAGCACTAGCGCAAATCATAGAATAGAATCATAGAATCGTTTAGGTTGGAAA